ATGCGTCATTTTTTTTTTTTTTTTTTCATTGATTATGATACTTTCGGCTTAACTGACACGTGATCTTGTCAGTTTCTGTATTTTTTTATGGACATTACGCTTGACTTTATCCGCAATTTGTATATTATATATAACAGATAGGTAGATAAAATAGAGAATTATGAGAAAAAAATTCATAAATGTTCGATATTAATATCTATAGTTTTTTCGAGATTTTATCATACGTAGATTTCTATCGCAATAAACGATAGATGTAAGAATTAACTAAGAAACTTGCTTTTTGAAAAGTAAATACTACAGAGAGTTTCCTCAAGTTTTCATTAACAATAAATTATGTTACGACAATATGAAATAAATAAAATCAAATATTTTCTTATAATCCATATCATTATCATTTTGTATATGAAATTACGATTCAGCCATATATGCTTATGTAATATAAACTACTATACTTAAATTATGTAATTAGATATAATTAAAATTACAATATTTTGTAATTTTATCTTGTTCTTTAACAACGATAAATTCGAGATTTTTAATAGATGCTTGAGAAGGCTTCGTAGAGATGATAAAAAACATGAACACTAGCGTAGATAAATGAGTAGAAATCAAACACACAAGACTCAAGTCGGGACGTAGTAAATAATCTGCGATTCCAGACAATCATCTCTGAATGTAATTTGCAACGTACCTTCGCAACGTACATGTCAAACGATGATTAAATTCATGGCGTAGTATTTTCCTCGGCAGATACGTGTGGCAAAGAGCAAAAGAATCTGATCGCGGCTAAAAGATTACTTCACATACCGCGAAAAAGAAGCGATTACGAAACGAGGAATTAACAACGGAGATTACGAGAATCGCTCGTAAGGACAGAGAGAGAGAGAGAGAGAGAGAAAAAAAAACGGAATTGCTCCGTGCATGAGTCTGCTTGCGTATGTGTGTGCGAGAGAGAAAGAGAGAGGCTGATAGAGAAGGCAATGACGAATGCACTTGGACGCGTGCATTGGCGTCAGTCGATGCGCGCGATTCGGCCGGCGATAGGCCGACGTGTTTACGCAAAAGTGGCATCTTTACACCTTATTAATATTTCGCCCGCCAGAAATATAACGGCGGCACGGTTCAAGAATCGACTTACGTTTTATACGGAGTCGCCGCGCGTCGTTACAAAGTGTATACGCCCGAGTCGAGACGAAAATAACAATTGTGCTATAGACTGACCGACCGCGTCGGCAAACTAAACTTATATACATCGCGTGCGCGTTATGCAGGTGTACGATTCTATTTAAGGCATTATCCACGCGTCCGATTTCCGCGTAAACTTTTTGTCGCGCGTATAATTTTTCTTTTTTTTTCCCCTCCCTTTTTCTTCGTTCTGCGAAAAACACATCCGCGACATTTCCTTCGAGATCGGATCGCTTATTCGGGAAGAAGCTTTAGGATTATACGTCAATAATAATTCGACTAACTCGATTTTTCGATTCAAGTTTGCAAGTGCGTAAAACATCCACGACAATTGAGGAATGCAAAGTATAAATAAGGAAATTTCATTTCCTGTTTTTCGCTTTAATTAAATTTTAATCTGCAGATGCAAAGATTAAATGTCGTAAAGACGCGGATCAATATCTCAAAAATTTCCTTGATGTAATTAATCATCTGCAGGATGTATATATGTATACAGAATAATGAATTCATAATTCATCTAAAAGACGAACGATCCTTTCATTTTCAGCTTCAATTACATACTGTTAAAAGACATCCTTAAAAGATAAAAAAAAATAAAACCAAACGGCGAGGAAATAATTAAATATTAGTCACATGTCCGCTGAGGAGAAGGGATAAATGACGCTATTTAAAATCGCTCGTTGTCAGAGTCTTTTCGTGAAGCTGGGATCGACATTTAAAACCAATGTCCCGATTTCCATCGGATGCATCTGAAATTGTCGATGCGCTAAGGTAATATCGAGTATCGCGGTTATACGTCAGTCGAGTCGCCGACACTCGCGGTCCATCCATCGAGGGTAGACGGCCGATGGTAAAATAACAGTCTGTATGAGAGAGAAATCTGTCCTGACAAATATATCAAATCCTGAAAATACCTACACGCGTACCTTTTCGCAGCCAGATTTTACGATACGCCATTAATATCTCGGAATTGCCTTCGCGAGTAGCCAAGATTGCATTTTCCTCCTTTTTTTCATTAGAATAAAAAAAAAACGAATCCGAGAGAAGAGACACATACACTATATACTAGAATATACTAGGATTTTTTATTAAGTAACGAAATAACTAAACCTTTTGACTTTGTCAAAATCCCAGAGAGAGATTTTTTATCGGCGAAAGTAAACTCGCTTGTATAAAAAATATTTTATCGTATAATTTAACGATGATACGAGTTACGTAAAAGGACTTATTTGGATCTCAAAAAATCATGACACGCGGCCACGTTGGCCGAGATTATTCAAGTCGATCGTAAGCATAGCATGCGTTCGACAAGCTTGATTTAGGCAACTCGCGTGCACAACTGTTGCACTCTCTAGCCTGGATTGTACGACACAATAAGACGGAGATTCATAGAGAAAAAAAAAAAAAAAGAAGAGAAAGAGAGAGAGAGAGAGGGAGACGCGCGCGTCGCATTCGTATATCGAATATTGTGTCGACGTAAAAAGCTCGCGCGATGCCTGTCGATATTTAACGAATTATCGCCAACAGCACGGGGGTAAATATAAATCTACTCCAGGTCGGATCGTAATACATTATGCATGAGCTGCAATGTAGCTGTCCCCCTACAGGAGGTCGGACAACCTAACCCGTCGAGAGAGAGAGAGGAGGCGAGTGCTCAATATGTCCTGGCCTATCGATCTCGCGCCGAGAGCGGGCGCGAGAAGACACGAGAAACGGAAGACAGATTATTAATAATTGATAAACCCTAAAACGGACTCGCGGTCGACGATGATCGCTTGCGCCCAGAAATAATATACGTTCACAGAGAGATATACGCAACGCGATGCCCTACGCTGCGTAGCGGGTAATCGGGTTGCTAGGTTGATGTTATACGTGCGAGTTCGCTCAATGGTACTTAGGCTTGTGATATCTAATCAGTTTCCAACTAGCGAGACATAATTAAAATTCATTCAAAAGTTAATTATTTCGATTAACGGCTTTAGTCCGCGAAATAAACGTATTTTTATCACATCTTATTCCGAGCAATATTGGGCTCTAAAATTATTTATATTTTATTAAAATACAAGAAGATTACTCAGGAATAATTTATTTCTCTCTGTCTTAATCTTTATTCCGCTTATGTCTTGTCATCTCTGATAAATATCCTAATAAACATATTGTAAACTATTAAAATTCAGGGTATCTATATCAACATATTTAATTATTGTAGTACTCGTTTGATATTTTAATATTTTCCACATTTAAGAATTTTAATCATGGTGCAAAAATTCACGGTGCGATAGCCAGGATCCAACAAACAAAAGCAAAAGCTCATATATCATACTCGTGCCCGTACGAGTGTGCGGCGTATAAAATATCGAAAAATGTCAGTAGTCCGCTGATGCTCGGACGAACAGGGATATTTAATTAAGCGATATATAAGTTATGCATGTGGCCGCCATGCAAGAGATGAAAAGAACCGACGTGCCAGATGGATCGACTGCACATACGTACATTAAATGACAATTTCGGGAAAAAAAATATATCTATCCATTCAGTTGAAAATGACAAATTAAGAGCGAAGCATGGATAATAGACGAGTATTATAACTCGGTTATCAAGCGCATTCGAGAA